ATACTTTATCGTGTATTATTTGAATAAATATTTAACATCTCTCTATGATATGCGCTTCTCCCGCCCTCTCTCTCTCTCTCTCTCTCTCTCTTTCTCTGCGCACGCCAATGTCCGGGGCTCGCTATATCTGCGTTCAGCGGAGAAAATAGCTCAGTGAGCGCTTAATGATTATCGTTCCTGAATGGTACATTCTCTTCGATCTATCAAGAATCTAAAAGAATACTCCCGTCACAGACGATATAATCACTAAACGCCCACTGATCTTTCTCCGCTGGACGCAGCCTATGCTTTTCACTCCACTACGGCGGCGGCAGTCGAGACTGATTCCGTCCCGAATATAACACAGCGAATCGTAACACGTCGCCTGCGATAATTACGGCGATTCCCGGCCGAGAAATTGGTTTTAAGCGTGCCCGCTTGAGCGTAATCGCTCGTTCGCTCTCTCCTTGCTCGCATTCCTAAATCGCGCATTCGTAAAGCGGCAGCTCGCCGCGAATGCGGCGCGCGCGGCATTGAGCGATTACAGCTGCCCCCCGTCGTAATCCGCGGCGAGTCCGCGTCGTAATGTTGCGTTTGTTAGGCCGATGAGTCCGTCCTTTCTCCTTTTCTTTCTCCGTCTCTTCCTCTTTCTCATGTAATACGGGCTAGCTCTCGTAACGTACGCGCGCGCCGCGCGCACAATATTCGATCACGGCCATTTACTAATAATACGCCTGCGTTCTAATCCGACGCGTCTTTACCGTACACCGGATTTCCCGCGGGATATACAAGGTGCGCCGTGAAGAAGCGCGCGCGGCTGCGGCTGAGCGCGAATGCAATCCCCGATGAATGTCGAGGGAGGATCTCTCTTCTCGGAGAAAAGAATCCGGAAAAGCAACCGCGTCTGCGATCGTTTGATTATTCGGCGCTCCGCATCGGGGAAATCACCGGCGATACCTTCCGCGACATCCGTGGGGATGCAACTGATAGCAAAATTATTATCGTATGTACGTTACTCTCTCTCTCTCTCTCTCTTTATATTTTGATATTATAATTATGCATAGTATAGCAAGATAATTAGAAATATAATTAGGATTCGTGAAACTGAAATTGCTATATCGATGATACATTTACTTAACGAATTAATCTTTTTAAGATGTAATTGGAGAACGGAAATATCGGCTTTTCGAGTCGATTTCGAATAAACTTTCGTTTATCGGGTTCTTACTTTTAACGATAACGGCGGATCATGGAAGAGATATACGCGCTTTCGTTGTGAAAGAGAGGGAAAGAGAGCCATCTTCGAATCTCGCCGGAACGCGTTTCTGTTCCAACTGCCGCGTGCTTTACGATACACCCAGTACGTGAGAGGCTCGCTCGCGGGAATTACACCGAGCGCGTTTTAGAAGACTGTACTTGGCAGCAGAAGCGTCCGCAATTTACCCAGAATGTAATGGGCCGCTCTTTGGAATAAAGTGTAATGTTTTCGTGTAAAAGTCAGCCATACGCCAAATCATCAGCCATTTCCCGCAGTGCGTCTCTAAACATTAATAAACCACCAGTTACCGCGCGTGTGCACACGCACGTGGCCAACAGAGAGGAGTGATTCGACGCAGCCGGGAGTAAATATTACGCGCACAGTGGTGTTATTATGAATTATATCACAAATGCATGTACCACCATGTCGAATTTGTATACAACAATTCCGTATTTGACGAACAGTTCCGTGTTTGACAAACGGCGGCGGATGAACGTAGAAATTAACGATATCGAGGTAATTAAGAAAGAGATAACGGCCAATAAGAGACAAATCGTGGCTATTATAGCGACGTATGTAACTTATTATTGTGGAAAAATATAAATATTCATCGTGTATTACGCACGTACCGAAAAATTTTTTGGACAAACATATACCCGGCGAATCAACCTTCCACACATGAACCGACCCTTGCATTTTAGTAATGTAATTTATAAAAACCCCTGAAACATTCTCTAATAAATTAAATGATAAATTATCATATGATTCCGTTTCTCATGTTGCGAAAAATACTGTTTCAGGAGTGTCTTGTATTCCAAGCTTGGTTCAATTTTGTATTAACGATTCTTTCCGCGATGTGTGCATAACGTCATAATATATACCTCGTAATGTTTGTGTGACCTATCCTCACGTTCTTTTCGATTAGACTAAATATCCTAAAAGTATATTGGTGTTAAAAAATATATAAACAAATGTATACAGCGCAATGTAATGTCAGTAAATACTGTCAGTCAGGAGTGAAGGGTCGGCTCATGCGTGGAAAGCTGATTTGCCGCGCTATACGTTTATTTGAAAAATTCTTCGGTACGCGCAACGAACCGAAACACAATTAACATTTATATATTCCCACAATAATAATTTATATGGGGTACATCGCCATAACAACAATTTAGTTTTTATTGACTATTATTTTTTTCTGCCTTAGTCACTGATAAAACCGTTTATTAACATTTACAGATATCGAGGTATTTACATTTCGCATACTATTATATCGTCCTGTAACTTACATTGTCGCAAACGAGAAACAGAAACTTTCCGGCTCGCCTCGATTCTCGATCGACCCCTAATTCTTCCTAAAGGGATAGAACGAATAGAGGCGAAAGAGATAAAGAAGTAAGACTGGAGGAGAATCGGATAAACTAATAAGACTCATGCGCGTGCAGGTTCTCCGCCGGCTGGTTCGCGGGTATCGCGACACGGTAAACAATTTTACGAGCGGTATAGGTCATCAGCGAGCCTCGCCGGGGTATAACGCGGCACCATCTCGTAAATAATGAACAGCGTAAACCGTAATGAAATGATTTATCGCGTCCAGCGCCGACAATGGCTTCCTTTTGGACGGCAGCAGCCTCCACCGGCAGTGCGGCACGGCAGACCGGCCGTTTGTACGCTTCTCTCCCGATGCGCTTTCTCTCCCTCTTTCACCCTTCCTGCTACCTCGACCACCGCCGCCACCGCCTCCTCCTCCACCGTCGCAATAAATCTGTCCAGATGGTGCGGTATATAGCCGTCGGCGGGATGCAACACGGCGCGGTGTACGTAGGACGCGCTGCTGCGGCGCTTCGGGGCTGCGAAACTCGTCGGCCCCGGCGACGGCGTTGACCGATGGTCAAGGTGGCGTCCGGCGAGGGCACGTTAAGGCGAATTTACGCGGGTTCCGGGATTTACACGAGCGTGTATACGGAATTCTCAATAGACGGGGGACGATCAACGGGGATTTTCGTTCGACCACGTTGTGCCGCGAGGAAAGAGAGAGTGACGCGCGAGGGATCGATTCTTCCGTCTCGCATTTAATGCACCGCGCGAGAAATTGGTCGGAGGAAGTTTTCAGCGGCGTCGACAACGACGGCGTACTGGGTGCGCCAACGCGACCGTTCGCGTTCCTTCTCGACGCGCGGTCGTGCGACGAGTTAAAATTGTTGGTCTGTACAGTGTCAGATTTTCAGTGGCGATATTAGAAGGTCCCTATATAAGTTTATTATTTATTGAAAAAGTACTTTTCTATAACTTTATTTAGCCAAGTAATAAATGTTAATCCTAGCTCGCTATAATTCGGTTTAATGGACTGCTGTTTGAACGTTTTCTAGTTTTCACATGGCATACTATTTTTTTCATAAAATATCAGGTGTCTGCTATAATAAACAAATATTATTTTTTTTAGATCGCATTTCTAAAATCATTTGAGAATTATTTCCGAAAACACTCTTAAATTTAATATAAATTAAATAATAAATAAGTTTAGTTCAAACCCAAATCACTTTTTTGATCTAATATTATTATCTTATTCAGACTCTTCAATTCCTACATTACAAATTTAAAAATATTAATTGGAGTGAAAATGACAAGGCGACAAAGACGAACGGTCTCACAGACTGAATTAAAAACTCGAAAATACGAGTGACTAGCTAGAGTTAATTTTTAGCAAAATTAAGAAAAATATACACAATATTACATACACGGAGATATTATTTATTCCTTATTTTTCTTACTAATGTAAATTTACTTATACGTCAGTTGAGCTAGTGGAGAGTACATAAATATTTAAATATGTATATATATATATAAAACATGTATCACGAATATCACTATATATTGTAAATTTCCTATGGTTATATTTTCAAGGCGAAATAAAAAATTGAAAAAATTTGTTGTATCTCCATATTACCTCGATATTTGTCCTTAATATCACAGTAGTTTTTCATTAAAAACCCGAAATGTGGTCCCAGAAGAAATTAAAAATAGAAGCCAAAAATAAAATATTAAATTCAAAGAACACGTGTGAAAAGTATCTTTAGTTGCGAATATCTCAACTACCGAATGATTAATCGGTTTCTACACTTCACAAACACGGTAGGTAGTATTTCCTAAAGCTAAAGTTTCAAAGAATTCCTAAGAAAGTGATTTGACGGATCAACTACCTTAAATAACGCGTCCGGTGAATTTGATAACATCGCGTGCACGGTACGCACACGTCGCGGCGTGGCCTCAACGCGTGTATTTATTACCGCCGACGTAAATCGCAATTTGTTTTACGGCGCACGCATTCGCCGCGTCTCGTATTTTGACTCGCCGACGCGCCGCGCCGGTGTGCAGCATTTGCAAGAGACACGCGAGGGTCCACGCGCGCCCGCACGATTGTCACGACGATGCATTACTCACCATTGGGTACGCGATGAGCGCCCATACGTTTTCCCACGTTACCTCAGGCTCGCCCGTTACCCGCTGTCCGTTAAAACGCCGCCGCCGCGTGCGTACACGTTGTAATAATAAACACCGTGTATTGATTTAACGCGCGCGGCCCGCGCATTGCATGACGCGCGAGAGTGCGCTAATGAAAGCTTCACCACGGCGTTACATCGCGATCGCCGGCTGAATTAAGTCCGTCCGGACTTCACGATTGATACCTCCGCGAATTGAGGGGAGGCCGTTTCTTCGGCCGAGAGAGAGAGAGAGACGCTCTTTCGAGCTGCAGACGTGTACTTACATGTTGGTCTCGTCCTGTTGGGCCTTGTCAGTGGAATCCACGGTCTCTGCGGCGGATGGTTTGCCGTAACTGCAAAACATAAGCGAGCAAATAACGTTAGATGGCGCAAAAATTAATTTTCAGTCGCTCACGCCACTCTTACCGCTAAAAATCCGGATGTTATCATAATTATCGTCACGAGGAACCGAGTCACGCGTGCATTTTAAGTATCTCAGTTGAACACAGCGTATAATCATCGTATAATTAAAATAAAATACAAGTACGAGATATATACGTTGCAAAAAAGTGTTACCGTTCGAATAACCGTAAGTAACAGATATTACTGTACAGATATTCATTTGATCCAAATAAAAGATTTACTTTAATACCCGTTAGCGAATATCCACTAAAAGTAGAAATATAATTGACTACGATATATATATTTCCTTCGTATAAAACAATTATGTGTATGTGCTGTTGTTGAAACGATTGCGACAAATAATAAATTCATAATATTGAGAATAACAGAATTTATTTGTAGAAAATATTTATTGACCAGGAAAGTCTAAATTTAAAATCGCAAGGTTTCTTCAGTGGAAAAAAAGTGTTATATATTATTCTAGTAAATACTCTCTTAAATATATAGAACCATTTTACATTTACATTCAGTGATGCATTTACAAATTAAGATATTATTACGTTCAATTATGTATACTACATAATGTTAAAATATATTTAAAATATTACTTCATTTAAGAGGCAGGAAAACATGTAATTACCTGATTCTGGCACTTCTTTTTTCTATTCATAGGAATTTTTTCAGATTTTTCCAAATACAGCACAAATTTAGATTAGAATACACAAAGTTGTCCCAAAGTAGGTTATCGCACTTTGATACAAATTGAGAATTTCATTCTTATCTCAGATATATGGGATGAAGCTTCTTCCTAACGATGCTGATTGGCCATTTGCTTTGTGCCGCATGTGATTGTCATTGCCAGAGTCGAGGCAATTTGTCCGAATATCAGATTAGGAAGTTAATAAATTGGGTTATATTTTTAACATTATTACGCCTAATAACGCGCGCATAGCGTTTGCGTACTTGTTAAATATAAATACTTAAAGTACTTCGTTATTTTGTTCAATCGTAGTGTAAAAAATGGGAACCAGAAGACTCTTTAGAAAAATGTTGGAAATGACCAAGTAGGATCTGTTTACGTCTTCCACTTAGAATCGTATATCTAACAACCTGCGTAGATATTTCCCAATTAGAACCCACTATTATTCTGGGAGATCGTACTGGGTCCCAATTAGGTCCTAAGAAATTTTCTACGCGGTAATCTTTATAAACAGCTCGGTATAAATTATTCCGCATTGCCGCTCGCTGAGCGTGCGCGTCGGTCGATTTTTTCCAAAACTTCGCGAGCTTCTCCTGCGAAAGAGGGAGTCTCCTCAGACTCGCCAATTTGGCTTCACGCTGATACCGTGAAACTTCTCAGAATGATCTAATCAGCGATGGGCTTGCGACCGGAAGGGCATCGCTAGCGCGACGACGACAGCGGCGACGACCACGACGATATCATTGAAGCGAGGACAGCGAAGATCGCCGGGGGTCGGGGGGAGAGAGGTTATTATAATCGCGATGCGATGAAGCGAGGAAGGAAGTTGCGGGTCGCGCTCATTAGACCAGTTCATTACACCTGCGTCGCCTAATGGCGCTCACTTACGGAAGAAGAAGCCGCGCGGCCGGCTGATAATTAAACCGTTCAGCCGAACGTCACTTGCACGGGGCCCCATTAACGAGGTACAGGGCCAAGAAACGCGAGGAAAGAAGATGACGCCTGCATATGACAGCGAGATTATACCCGGTGTCCTCCTGGCCCACAGCGGTGCAGCCTCGTCTATCGACCCTTTCCCGGTACTCGTGAGACTAATGGAAGAGAGGTCCCAGCGGAAAATATTCCCGAGTTTATACCTCGAACGTGATGCGCGTCCAAGGGATGATTTCGTAGGACACCGTCCGCATTATTGACTTTCCGACAGTTCTCTGCAGTTTCTCCCTAAACGCTGAGAAGAAAGCCACCCGATCTTCTTTTTCCTCCTTTACCTCATCCCTTCCTTCTCTTCCTTTTCTTCTCCTTCGAGAGAGAAAAGTCAAAGAGCAAGATTATTTAATAGAGCAATGAGGAGCCTTTCGCGCGTATCAAACTGATATACCTTCGAGCATCGCGGCGCGTGTTCATCAGACGCGTAAAATCGAGCATTCACGGCAGCGATCTTCCGGGCGTGCGACGTTCGACGGCGATCAAGAGCAGAGGGAGAAAAAGAGGGAGAGAAGCGAAGAAATTCGACCGGGATGGTCGGGAAGTTTCGGAGCGGAACGAACCGTCGTCCCGGTGCCGACGGTTTTATCGCGTTCGCGGAGCGTTTCCCGCTTTTTGACGGCAAACCGCGCTTTCGCGCGACACTGCGGTTGCGCGCGGGACGACGACGGTCGCGGTTAAAGAAAGAAAGTCACGGTTAATTCTTTTTTCGCGCTCCTTCGCGGTTAACGTATCGCGATGCGCGCGATACGTAACGATGCGTAACGCGCGCTGTCGGTAGGTTTTCGCCGCCTTTCATCCTCCGCGGCGGGAGTAGTCGTCGATTCGCCGGCGTATTTTCGCAACGGCGAGATTCGTAACAGCTTCTCCGTCGTCTTCTGCGTATCCGCAGGGGAGGGACGCGTGTCAGAAGAGGCGGAGGTTTAATAATAAGGAAATAGGTCAACGCGCCAGACGTTTATGTTCGACGTTCTCGAGATGCCCCGGAATATCTTCCGAGTTTCAAGAATAATCCCGTCTTGTTTCAGGGCTACGGAGTTATTTACGACGGGGGCGGCGAAGTTTCGCAATCTATTCGGCGGTCGCGCCGCGAAATCTCCCGGAGGAGACGAGATCTCGCGCCGATATATTTCACCGGGAGGATCTGTTCGCGAATAACTTATCGCGTTTCGCTTCTTCTTTCTCGCTTCCTCTTTTTCTCCCCATCAGAACGGTATTATTGTTCGGGGCGGCGATACGAATCTCCTCGTAGCGTCGGTGACGCGCGAGTCATAAGGCACGCGTGCACGACTACATAGAGGAAAGGATTTCTTCGAATATAATCGGATTTCTTTAATTGAAACACACTTTTCTTTTGGAATGGAGCAAAGAAATGGAATGTTCAACTCGACGAACAGAATTGCTTGGTTTCTCAAATAATAAATATCTCTTTACGTCAAATAATACATTTCCGTTTCTGTTTTCATTCAAATATTACAATAGCTGTCGCGAGCAATAAATTATTTGGAAGTAGTAATACTATGTTAAAAAAATATTAAACAACTTCTTTTTGTTTCAATGGGACGATATTTGATATGTAATGAAATAAATGTGTTTTTTTTTTATTGAAAACCAAATATTATCTCCTCAAAATAATGTTTTCTATCAAAAACGTGGTTTAATCTAGTAAAACAACATTTTTATTCAAATAAAATAATGTTCGATATTAACCTTCTAACCACAAGTTTGGGGTCGGATGCATCCCTACAGTTCGTTTATTTTACAGCGTGTACGCGCTGTTTCTCTTCTTAAGGAATGTTTCATGTTATTATTTATTTCTTTTACCCATTTTCTACATGAAAAACGGACAAAACAGAGTATGGTGTTACGAATCCAACCCCACTTTCCTGGATGTATTTAAAATTTACCTTGTCGCTGAAAGATTAAATTATGTCGCTTATATTAAACAAAACTAAACCAAACAATACGTAATACTAAATCTAACGAAACCCCTTTTTCTGTCTGTACAGCAATTAACAAAAGAAGAGAATCATTACATTTTGTACACAATCGTACGTTGCAAATTAGTGATACCGTACAATGAAAACAAACATATCCGAGAGAACAGCGACGCGAGGAAATGGCGAGAAAAAAAAACAAGACCAGAGATAGCGGTGTAATGACGATAACACAAATACGAGGATGTACGATCGTAATATGCAAGGATATACAGAAGATACGAAATAATAATACACGCCGCGGCGTTGCGTATAATGTAATAACACGTTTTCCAAATGTGTAGAAGCGCGCGTGCGCGCGCGTACGATTCGCAGTCACTTTCCACTGATTATCATCATTAAGTCGCCGTATTATCTCGCGTGTGCGCGTGGATGATCAACTCGATCGCACCCGCCCGCTCTCGTCCACCCGCCTGCCATTCATCCATCCATCGAGATTAATCCGACGCTTTTCGAAGCTCGTAACATCGCGTTACAATCGTGCGTGCCAATCACGGTGCTGCCGGGCACGAAGGGATTAATCGGATGGGAATAACTCGCGATGGTGTGTTGAACGCGTGCAAAAACGAGAAATCGAACGATCCCTCTCTCTCTCTCTCTCTCTCGCTCGCTCGCTCGCTCGCCCGTCCGCATTCTCTCTCCGTCGGAGCTTTCCGCTGTCACGATCGAAGCCGGAGGGATTTTCGAAACGTGTTACGTGTCAACGAGATGTTTGCCTTTAACCCTCAATTGCTATGATGGATCAAATGCGATTCCGGCGCGGGTACCTTGATAAAATAGTGGAAAGCACGGAGGGAATTCGTTTTTAGCCTCAACGCGCGTGTGTATGTCAACCGGACAAGTTCGGCTGTAACCCTCAATTATCGCGACGGATCGAACGTGATCCGGCGCGCGACGTCCGTTAAAGTACTGAAAGAAACGAAGAGAGAGAGTTTGTTCCCAATTCACCGTTTCCTCGATACATTTTCGCGGTTTCGCACTTGGTTATCCCTCCTCCCCCTTCCGCGCTCATGAGGCTCTGGAAGCGGAAAATGAAATCAACGTCGCCTTTGAAGACCGACGTAAAATTTCCGCACTTAACACACGACGGCACGAGGTCGTGAACTCGAGTACACCGGAGATTCGGGAGGCGGAAATGTCCCGCATTTTCCGGAGGAAAATAGAGAGAGAAAGAGAGAGAGAGAGAGAAAACGTGTGCGGAGAAACTCCCTCGCTCGCGGTCACCTCGTTTCGGGCAAAGCTTCTCATTACCCGCGCAATACTCGGACGG